GCCAAATCTTTGCTTGTGCAGTGCTGAGATTTTATGTCAAATTACTGCACCCTGGAGTGGGTTGAAAGCTTTCAAACAGGTGAAAAAAGATGGTAGAGCTTAATGATTTTCTTGAGAGGAAGGGAGAATGACCACCTTCGAGAATTAGCCAAGGGTGACCAAGCTAACAGTTAAGATTTTTCTCACCCAGTAAACTAACATTGCCCTTTACTAATTAATTCATGAGGTATTGGGTTACCTTCCCAGATCTATTCTCTTCTAAGTGAGCTATTGTTTGAAGATACTAGAAAGTAGCATCTGTATCCAAAAATAATTGAAGCAAAATCCCTTCTCCTCCGTATCGATGCCAGGACACTGGAACTCATCTAGAACATGCTTGCAGGCCAGTAAGATAATAAGTCCCCAAGGTGAGAACTGTTGGTAGTACTGCTTATGCTAGAGTCTTGCAGTATCTGGGAATTTGAATTATTTCTTTTCTTTTTCTTTTTTTTTTTTCGAAACAGGGTCTCACTATGTATTTGAGACTGACCTGGAACTCACTATGTAGCCCAGGCTTATCTCAAACTCACAGTGACCCTCCTGCCTCAGCCTCCCAAGTGCTGGGATTACAGGCGTGCACCACCATTATTTCTAATGTAGTAATTAAGCCTATAGCAGTAAAGTATGCGGTGAATGCCAGCAGTTTATTGGACAAAACCTCCTCTGACAGTCCATGTACTTGAGTTTCAAGGGACTTGCTTTAGCTTAAAGGAAGCAGTGAGAAGAAAGCAAAATTAGTGTCCATATGTCCATAAATAATTTTTGATATAGTCTTCAGTCTCTGGAAGTTCCATTTATTTCTGTACTGTATTTATTTGTAATAATTATTCTATTATATAATTCATAATATTATTCCTAATATTCCAGAGGGTAGGCACTTTCCTAGTATTTTTATATCTCCAGTTCCTGGTACATAGGTTGCACTCAATGTATCTGAGATGGGAAATTATTACATGCCTGAATGGGTGTTTCTCCTGCTTTGCTTACCAGGTATTACCTGCTATTGTCATTTTGCCTTCCTTTGGGCAGTTGAACTCTTTGTTATTTTTTCGTCATTGAGTTTATTGGTACATTTTAGGGATACAGTACAGTTACATTCATCATCGGAATCTTGTACCTTTACATGACAGGTCTTGGTTCTCATTTTTTCCTCTTGTCCCTGCCCTCCCTTCACACCTTCCTCCTCTCCCCTCCCCATTTACAAACACTTTATTTCCATTTTTTCATTTTATCCTGTTTTTTTCTTTTCCCTTATTACCTTTCCCCTACCCTTCCCACTTTCCCTACACCTTTAGCCCTTTTCTTTCTATTTCACACGGTCAATGAGCTCTTTGTTTAAATGATATCATTGTAGCAATGATGAAATGATAACAAAGGCAAAGAACTTGGCTCCGATGATACGTCATTCAGTGGAATAAGAAAATGCAAGAGGCTATAATGCTAGCACATATTAATTTGTGGGCCCACAAATGTTTGCTATTGTGTGTATATGGACTTATATACTTTAAAAGCATTTGTTTCTGAAGTCAAAGAGTAAATTTCTTTTTTGTTCAAGATGAGTCTAGCAAAGGAGATGATAATGCCATAGGGTACTGTGGAGATATGAGGCTTTGGGGGATCATATTTAAGATTCCTTAGAGAAGCCTTCTCTCAGTGCATCTTCAAGGTGAGTGAGGTGCACCACATTTGCTCACCTGTCCTATTTACACTCACTCCAAGTGTATTATAGTAAAATACACTGACCTGTACATACATAGAATGAATTTAAGACATACAGTTTATGCTGATTATCTTGGTATAGTTATTAAGAGTAATCTCTTTTAACAAATTGTTGTAGTTTAAATAATAAAATTTAGGGGCCTTTTATTTATGTATCTGTTTCTATTATGAAATCAGCTTTCTTCAGGGCACATCCTGTGTTTCAGTCATATTTCTACTCTTGGCGTTTTGAACTGTGAAGCATATGGTGGATGCTCAGTCAGTCTTTATTGAATGGACTGGGCTAAAACACTTCATGATATGTCAAAAAATAATTCATTGCACAGGAAAAAGACATAATGAAGGAGAAATCTAAAGCAAATCTATTAGACAGGGTCCTTGTGAGAAACAGATGGCACACCCAACGCTGGCAATTTGAAGAGAGTTTGATAAAGGTTTCAAAGACACGGGGAGATTTGCTAAAAACCCAAGGACAATTGCAAGGCCTAGGGGCCTGTATGGTAACCAGTGCCTAAGAAGGGAGGAGGGGCAGGAAGGAGGAGGGAGAAAGCTCTACGGAGAGCCTCGCTTGATGGGAACTTGGTCCTCACTTGAGGGTTGCAGCGATCCCACAGTGATGTCAGTGGAAGTGATACGGTGAGTAAATGCCCCCATCTCATTCTATTTTTCTTCTTTTTGAAAAATCTCTGGACAGTGCTACCCTTTGACTGAGCACAACAGGAAGCCAAGCCCAAGGGGGCCTCCCAGTGTACCCTGTACAACATCCTGAAGCATAAGGCACTGTAGGGATGGAGATGTGATGGGTTTGAGGGCAAATGGAAAATTCACAACAGCTCTAGGAAGAGAAAATATGGAACACTGGAGGAGAGTAGAGGATTTAAAAATAATCTATGAGGCAAATAATACAACAGTAACAAAGATAGGATTTTTTTGTGTCTTCTGGAATAACTGAAAACAACTTCTTGTGTAGTTGTTCATATTTTATAATGACTATATCTCCTCATACGTGTTAACTCCCCAAACGTAGTCACCACCAGCACCAGCAGCAGGCCTGGCAGTTTCTCAATAATTATTGGCTGATTAAATGGGTGGAAGAACCATCAGGAGCCATGCAGCTATGTCAAAAAGAATGTAGTCAATACGAAGACCTCCTTACCTTAAGGCTTGTAAGACTTCCGAGATCAGAAATTTCAGCGGGGTGGGATGGAGCCTGTGGATCTCTGAATTTCAATTTCTATTCATATGAAAGAAGTAATCTTTGGTCAGGAAGCAATGGTTCTCCAGGCCTGATCAGAATGCTGTGAACAGGTTAACAGACCGGCTCTAACGGAAAGAATGCTTAGCCTTTGGCAGTATAAGAGTGCAGTTTCCACCACTAAAAGCATTCATTGATTTTCTCGGTATTACATGTGATTTTCTGTTAATTAAGTTTCATCCCAACACTACTCAATCTTATAACCATTCAAAGGATCACCTAGGCATGTCTGATCTAGAGCTCACACACTACCAGGAATGTTGCATAGGTAGATGGGGCTCAGCGTAGTTTAGAAACAAACAAGAGTACACGGCAAGGGAAGTCAGTGAAGGATGCAGTGACACAGGTGTTCCATTGTGTGAGACTGCACAGCACTCAGTCTACTGAGCACAGATAGACTTTAATGCAAATTTTACCAGAAATAAATGGTAAACAAGCAGTACCAGGCAAGGGGATGTGCTCAGTAAACATTCCTTGACTGTTAGTGGAATCTCTGGCATTATATTACTTTTTAGCTGGCTTTGCAGTGCCATGGCGGCAGGGTTTAGATGAATTATTATTACTTTTTTCCCTGTGGTCTTTGTGAGGCAGTATAATATAGGAGAGGAAAGTTTCCGATTCCAGCTATCTGACTTTGAGGAGAGTCGCTTGACCTGTCTTTGCTTCATTTCCCTGTCACTAAAATGGAGATGATGGTGCTTATGACCTGATTTCTGTATTTAATTTAGTGAATAAAAATGCAAGTAAGACACAATATTTTATTTACTGTATAAGAAGTTTTCATTATTAATATCACTATGAGCCAATGTGAATTCAGTACATTCATCTCGTCTTTAACATGTACGTATTTGAAATCCAATCACTTTGAAGGGGACATCTCCAGCATGGAAAAAAATTATTTAGGAAATATCCATCTTAATGTGAAATCTATCTATCTGTATACACACACACACACACACACACACCCACACACACACACACATATATATATATATATATATATAGAGAGAGAGAGAGAGAGAGAGAGAATCACTGTATCTGTTCACCGTTCAGATGATACTTAATTTTAGAGAAATTAGCCTTATTCTGAGATAAAGAACAAAATATTATTTGATTCTGGATAAGGAGCCAAGGAAAATGGGTAGCCTTAATAAACTGTTGAAGTATACAAATGACATTATACATTTAATGCCTACATTGATGTTTTTCATTGAAATGGTGAATGTTGTATTGAGTTAGTGGGATAGGCTAGTGATCCATGTGTTTCTTTTTGGCTATGGTACATTTCTTGCACATTTTTCTTGCTGGTAGCATATCATGGGAGAATGCTTGTAATGTCAGTATCACTGATTTCCAGCCCTGTGGGGAGTCTATGATACTGAGACTCTTCCCAGGAGAGCTGCAGTAGCAAAGGTTCTGCCTCACAGATTTGTGAGGTGTTGTGCTTATTCTTCTAATGGAAATTTAGAAGAGCAAAATGAATGCTCTAAAATGAGAGAGAAGTTAAATTATGATAGTGAATAGAGACAAGAAAATAATAGTTATCATTCCAGTGGCAATATAGTGCACACACATATATATATGTATATATAATTTAACCACAAATATATGTATATGCATATAATTATATATATATATACATACACACACACACATGCACACACGCACACACACCCTTACAGCAAGCCCAAGGCAAAGGCAACTTCATTTTATAGATGAAGACATGGAGGGCAAGAGAAAATAAGTAATTGAGTAATGAAGGCATACTGCTTGTAAGTAACTTTGTTAAATAACAAGTCAGTGTATTATACTGGTAGAGAACAAGTCAGTAACTCTGGACTAAGTTGAGATTTACTAAGTGGTAGAATGAAATTGAGGCCAAACTGATTCCAAAGACTGAGGTCCTTTTTTAACGGAAGGATCTTCCCAGAAAGAAGGATCTTCTCCCCAGTTGGTATTTCTTCACAAGAAAGACTTGGAGCACCTGTTATAGCTTATTTTTGCCAAGTTCTGGAGATGGAACAGAGACGTGGATATAATATGGCCCTAATGATAGTCATTGCTTTATTTATAGTAGGATTCATAGTCTCCAACTTTGTTTTTCTTGGCCAAAACAAAATCATTTGTAGAATCGAAGTGCTTCTCATAACTGAGGGGGTTCATCTGTGGACAGTTGATTCCTCCAGATGTGCTGAATAAGTTGAAGAAAAGTGGGAATGGGTGTGCTGAGAGCTACTGTCAGGTCCACCGTAGGTGTTTTTGGTCAAAGGTACCTAAAATACACGGAGGGAAGAATCTCTGTATCTTCTGACCATTCCTTTCTCTAGTTCACCAATATTCAAATCACTACTGTGGACCTCCTTCTATTGAATGCCTACTACATAAAGAATGTTCATGAGGCAACTTCCATTTATGGTTTTAATTTTAACCACAATCTTGTCAAACAGGTGACTTTAATCCCATTTCATAGACGAAGAAATCGATGATGAGAAAGGTTACATGTGAAGTGACTGGCAAATATGAGATCTGATGAATAAATACATACCTCACTGTGTGACACGTGCGTCTCACTTTGGTTCTGGTTATCTATTTGGGCATGGCTAAGACTTCTTAATGCAAGGGGGCAGGCATACGAGGGTCTCTGGAAGTGCAGGCTTTACATTTAAAACCAACTCTTCAAAGTATGTGGGGCATGGAGAGTGAGATGGATGCACAGGGCTGTGGCCCGTGGTAAGTCAGGTTGGGCCTCCAGAGTTGGCTTGCTAGTCAAGAAACTGTGTACACAGCAGAAAGACAAAAGCTGTTTGAATAAACGATCATGGCTGGGAACAGAAACTTACAAATTAAAACACCTTTTTCCCCTCAGAGAAAGATATAAAAATCCCACCCCCCAACATCTGGTTTTTAACTTTGTGTTTCTGGGTTTAATGCACTGCTCTCTTTACTTTTTGTTCCACTAAAATGTGCTGAAGACATGTGGGAGTGTAGCTTAGCAGGCGAGGACTTGCCTACTATGTACAAGGGCCTTGATTCCATTCCTAGCAACACTAAATATGTAAATAAACAATATACTGAAGAGTAAATGAGGGGAGAAATAGTTCCAATGTAAAGGAAGTGCCAATAGCAAATGGAATAGCAGGTACAACTGGTAAATTCAGACTAATAATGGGAATGCAATTAGAAAATTATGCTGGAAACTTCCTATTTGGTGTTACATTCAGTTGAATTATAATGTTAAGGATGTTTTATTGGTGTTCTTTAGCCATGGTTCTTGTGTAATAGACTTGCTGTGTGGAGATACAGCTAAAATATTTATTTTTATTTTTATTAGTACATGTTTGCAGTACGTAATGATTACATTCACAGTAGGGAATCGATATATGTACATAGCACCTTTCGGTTATTTTTCCCCTTTTATTTTTATAGCATCAGATGAATTTATCTTATTATATA